TGGGCAGAACCTCCTCTATGGTCTTACGCACAAGTGCTTCAATCAGAACTTTTGGCTAATCGGAGACACCGTCCGATGTCCGACCACTACTCTCATCATATTCAAGGCTCTCGCCTTCCTTACAATAAATTTTTTAACTACTGTTCTTTAGTCACATGCCTTATTGGCAGAATCTAGGCCAAAGCATCGTTAGATTTATCTTGACGACTGATCCCGCCACTTTCGCAGGTCGTAATTGACACAGCTTGGACAAAAGAGGAAAAGTCTATATAAGCCAGATTGCCGCTCTTCGAGTCATATACTGGAATCACAAGCATTTTTGAATACGAAGTTATAAGAAAAATATTTTAGGATAAAGTTGTGCTGAGCATTGGATAGAGCTGGAAAAGTTCTTCAAAATGACATCAACATCAATTGCAGCTTTCCTAGATTTCAAGGGAAATAAAGCATCCAAAAGTGGAATGTCAGAAAACGACAGAACTTTCTGAAACACCTATATTAACTATGCCTCAGTTCGGTCTTCAGCAGACGAATCACCGCGTAATTTCTCTACGGACATTCAGCGACGCTGAAAAGTCTAACCCACTCTCCAATAAGTGCAGCGTGCGCTTAATGGTGCAATAGCCACAATGCTGATAAGTCTCATGGGCCCTCGTGTCGCTAAAGCTGACGTGTGCATGCTCGCGCGATTAGCGGGCGGTAGCAAAAACTGGTTATGATGAATAGAATTTTGTAAAAGGGCCAAATGGAAGTGCGTACTTGGAATCCTATGGAACAAATGCCAAAGAGTAAAAATGATTTGTTTTGTGCGCAGTAAAATCATGGCAATAGTTGCGCGCCGTGCAGGACACAGAGAGCCACAACATTGTTGCAGTGAAAATATGTAGGGGTTGCTTAAGGAAAGTTCCATGGACCGTTTCGCGAGCCCTGGAAAGTTGCAAATGCGCTCAATCTCGGGACCCCAAAAGTTTTTCGGGATGCGAGATAACCAGAAAGTTTCTGGATCTACCGACTTGGATGATACGGATTCCAACTACATTATGTTTCTTCATTCCGATCACTGTGAGGCGGTTGAACTAGGGAAGTTCGTTTTTCATCACGTCAGATGCATCAGCATTCGCCTTTGGAAGTGCTTTATCCTCCTTGAACAAGCGCGGCGGGTGAGAATTAGGTATAGAGGACTAGGCGTGAGAGGTTGCATTGGGTGCGACTTCCAGGTTATCTCAGCTACGTTCGGTTTTTTTGCAGGTGTGCGAGTTGATGCGGATCGAATTGGTTTGAGGTGCATTCAGACGAACGAATCGAGATCATTTCTTGGAACAGCGTCTTGCTAGGGCATATTGTGCAAGGTTTAAGGGCTAGATTTTGGCACCGTGCAAATGATACTGTCTCACTATGATAGTTCCGCCTGTGCTCGGAGAGTTGCGCCTGCAGTAGATCCGCGTAAAAGGCAGAACAACCTTCTCCTCGTGCATTTCACCTTTGCAAATTTTTGTTGACCCTAGTCTTGATCAAACTTCTCAGCCGAAGACTATAGGTCATTGAGAAGAATCTATTCTACATTGCAACTCTCACAACACTATGAACAGAAGCGCGCTTTTCTCCGCGCACTCACGCATTGCAGATCGAAGGGCAGACGGTCCCGGACGAATCGCAACTTTTTGCAAGCCCCTTTCATGTGTACTTGAATTTGGGGCCGGTTGCTTTTCGAAGCCATCCCAAGGTGACGCTTGAACCATAAACATAAATTACAAACAAGTTCAGTAAGGCTGGTACTTCCTGCTGAACTGTTTTCCAAGCACATTTGGTTCTATCAAATGTTTCAGGTTGAATTCTCGCTTTGAATCAGACTCCAAATCGCGGTCGTCACCTGTTGCCAACTTCGTGAGGGAGAACGCCGTCCGATAGATATTACCAAACTATTCGTTTGCATTGGCTTTGCTTTCGTTTCGGCAAATTCATTGGCCAAGCGAAGGGTTAGAGTCTATCCGATAGAATCAATTTACGATTGCTTCTTGCCTCTTAGTCGAGGTAGAAACAAGAAATCTAGTGTCGGATTCGCTTTGGTAAGCATGTTCTGTCAGGCCTTTTAGAAAAAGTGGGAGTGCAGTACATCTTAGAGCCAAATTAGTCATACTTTGAATAGAGCAGAAATGACCCGCTTCTCGCTTCTGGTCGTTCTTGCTAAAAGGCAAAGTGAGGTCCATACAGGTACCATACGCGTGGATACAAAACAACTTATGGAACCTGACTGTACACGCATGCTTTCACCATTTCTCCAACACTGTGAAGCTGTGCGTCTGTGAAGAGGTAGAGTATGGAATGGGTTTACGCACGCCTGAGCGAGAGATCCTCACAGGGCTTTAACGTCATACGAAGCGACAAGAATAAATTTAGGACGCCTGTCGGCAAAGGCAGTGGGCACGTGAGGGGTCCTGACGGAAAACGTTTCGATCCAAAGTGTCGACGACCATCCGTGGAACAAGGTGAAGCCTTGGTGACTGTGGTTTGCGAAAGATGCTAGACCACTGTACAGGATTGGATTGTTGGTGAATGCTGGTGCATACCGTTGGGTTCTAGAAGGTGTTGCGTATCCACCCGTATGGCACATGCACCGTACCAACTTCGTCTTCTAGCTATAGAGCAGATAGAATATATTGCACCTCAACTGTGCAAGAGGGATTGGACAGCAACATTTTTGATAATGTCTTCCAATTCTCTAAATGGGTGTTTTTAAAGACACTTGAAAAACTGGTCATTTTACTATTTAAAATCCAATCCCAGAGGTGGTTAGCTTCCCACTTTCACCGTGCAACCTTCAGTTGGTCGTGCCCCATTGAGTGACCGAACGACCATAAGCTTTTCAGTTTTTTCTAGTGAGCTATAAAGCAAATGAACCATAGAGATTTTATTACGACGCCTGTCATTCCACCTACGGATAGGCCAACAACAGCGCTATGACACTTCGCTGTATTTTGTTTCTGCATATGATCTCGCCTGTCTTGGTAAGTTATCGCGCGCATGCTGAGCCATGAGGACAGGGTTGCAACTCTGTTGGCTCTGAATTCCGTACCTGTGACTTTCGGGCTCCATGCCAATCCATTCCGCTATCGACACTCTATCCGCGTTCTCCCGCTTCCACACAGGCAGTTCGATAGACTATAATAATAAAAATTATTACATATCCACTTCCGGGCGGAAGTGGTGTAGTGGCAAGTGGCACGCTTACCACGCGAGCGGTCCGGGGATCAAATCCTGGGTCGTGAGTCGCCCGGGCCAACCAAGCCTTCCATCCCTCGGTTAATTGGTACCAGACTTGTCTGGGAGGATAAAAACACTGACTTGTACATCGGCTGGCCCCCGCAAGTCATTGTATAGGCCACATCGCATTCAAACGCCACTACGAATGTACAAATGGAAGTAGAATGCGTGCCGCATCCCAAAAAGGGATTGATCAACGGCAAATGCTTTATCCTTTTCCTTTATTACATATCAGAGGATTAATATTTATCACAAATGGAATGTCCTAGGCCTGGGAGCGTATGCTTGATCTCTCTTCCAAGGAATAAGGAAAAGAACTCTCCTGATATCACTGGTTTCCAGCTAGAAATGCTAGAGGAGAGGACGTGGTCTCATTATGTGAAATAAAAATGTGCTAAAGTTAAGCAATAATTTTTGGAAAAAAAAGAATCTGATAATCACGTTCCACCATTCTCGGACGAAGATTTAGCATACGGTTATTTCCATTTCCTGGTTGGTTATTGCCAAAGGCCGACTGATTTGAAAGGCTATGCCGTCTAACTCGTCACTCGGGCCAATAATGAAACTCCATATACTGCGTGCTCTTATTAGGCATACCTAGTGTTGGCCTGAATTACCAGACATTGTTTTTTCTCTTTTCGCACGACTCATTTGGCACAGGTGCTTCAAACGCTTCACAACCGCACGCGTCACTGACTGGCCTTACACTTATCGCCACAGGAAAGTTCAGAAACGACTGCACTTGATCTTGGGTTTTGCTAAAGCTTTCCGAATACTAAAAATTAACCTTTACTCGGTTGAAGGGGAAATGAAATACTATTTATGTGCAGACATGTCAGCCAATTAGTATGGTTCCTATGCATGAGCCTGCGATGGTAGCTGCTCCTATGGCAAAAACCTTCATCGTGCCACCCACAGATCTGTCCAGTTCAGAATCTGAGAACAGGTAAATCTTGGAGATCAGTCACTAATAGTGCTGAAATGCAAAATGGGAGGCTGCGATGCACTTACCCGTTCAATACGTTCAACTTCGAAAAATCCTTCAGATCTACTTCAACCGTTCTCGCATCTGATTTCTATGAAACCACCCAACCGGCTTCAATAGGTAAGCCAACGACATTAACAACGCCACTGCCGACAACAGAACTGACAAGGTACCTTCTGTATCTACATATTTACACGCTGTTTTTTCGTGAACCATACCCACCATCAGCATTATTGTGATCAGAATGGAGCTGGTTTTTCAAAAGTCCGTACCTCCCAGAGTTTGTTGTTGTTTTCAGATTGGCGCCTAAATTAACAAGGGCATTTCCTGAACCTGCCACGGAACTCCCAGATGCCGATTTTACCGTAAAGTGGTACGTACCGGACCACCAATACATACTATTAAGAATTCTTACAGTGCTATCTCGTAGGGGCAGTCGCCGCCACGGCGCGCTCCATGATCGCTCCTCTCAGGACAAGCAGTGTAGGTAGTTTCGGAGGTGGGTGAGAAGAGTCACTTGACATGCGTGAAAAGCTGGAACGTGCGAGTTGACACTAACACGCTGAAAGGGCGCGAACATGGCACCGTCGCAGCGGTAACTGCCCTCCTCTTTAGTAAGTTAGCACTCCCTCCCCTTAGATAATCAGAAAAAAAATTGAGCGCGGCCAATTTTTCGTCACCCTGAAGTTTTCATTTGAGTATATAAATTTAATAGAACTTCCAAGACTTTCATTTCAGGACTTGTTCATCGGCGATGGTGCAGATTGAAACTATTCATCCATGGGATCCTGAACGGATCAAGATCTACCGCGATTTATTAAATAGAAATATGCTGCTGCTTCAGCATCATTCCGGGAAAAATCTCCGCGAATTCGGCCATGTGCTCCGAAAAGTCGCGTAAGTTGCTCGCTCCAGCTGTTGCAGAAACCAGGAAATACTTTGTTCTGAACCATTCACAGATTATCTAGTGCTAATGCCAAGGCTCATTTCAATGTTTAAAAGCATCGTGCACGGAAACCATAATACATCTCTTTTACCACGGAATCGGTATTCTAAGCCTCTGCTCCAAATGGTAAGAAAAAAAAACGAAAAATTAATTCACCACGATAGGGAAAAAACTCGAATAACTTAGAGGATAGAAAGAATTTGAATTTCCGCCGTACAACAGTCAGAGCTGTTGTCGGTACATATTTGCACGAGTGAACCTGGACGTGATAAACATTCGATGCCAAGGACCCTTGCATGCAGTCGTGCTCCGTCTCATAAGCCTCTTTTGCTTCGCCTTCCTTCCAGCATCTGCCCAGGAGTTAGTCTTTATCAAGACTTATCCCTTACCCTTCAAAATTTCACCTTTTCGGCCTAAACTTTGCATGTCGGCTTCTTTGACTACATAGAACATACTCATTCAAGGAGAGAAGGGTTTTTCACCTACGGCATCTTGATGCTTACCAAAGCATGTGGGAGTTCGGGGTTCCGATCTATCAGTGTAGTCACTCCGGTTCCTCAATGCCGGATAGCAGTAAAACATGATAGCTTCATACTTCACACCAGCAACTCACGCACACGCTGCTTGCCACGCGAAAAGCCAAAGAAAAGTCAAAGAACAACGAAGGGGTCGTATTTGTTCAACGGAAACGGAGGGGGGCGTAACCTTAAAACCAATCATAAAATTTGAAAGTGCCAAGACATAGCTAAGTGGCAAAGGAGGACAGAGTTACGAACTAACACTGCGACTACGCAATTGAATGGCGCATCCCAGAGCGAGATTTCTTACTAAAATACGTCATGTTCCAGTGAGCACAAGCGAAAAATTCTTTCAGAGAAACTCCCATGCTTTTAGACCAAATCAAAGTGGAGGAAAGTGCAGCGAATGCGGACTGACCACAAGGGTTCTAATAAAAACCTTGGCAATAGAAAGGTTTTGTTTTCAAGATATTCTAGCATACGATTTGAAATACTATTTCTGCCGACTTCAATGGCTTTGACGCCTCTCAAAGTACCGATATTGAAGAAACTTATGGCCATTTGAAGGTTGAAAACTCGCGTTTCAGGAGAATGGCCTAAAAAGCAGTAGAGGAAAAACGGAACAACGGGACGATTTTTCGAAAGAGTGGTCATTCAGGAAAATTCAAATATTTTTCGAAAGCGTAATCTTCTAGTTTCTAATTAGCTTTGAAAATCTGCAAAAAGTTGATATGAAGAAAGTTATGAATGTTTGAATGTCGAAAACTCGCGTGTGCACAAAAAACGGAACAACGGGACGATTTTTTTTGAAGAATTGAACATTGTAAAAGCTTTCAAATACTTCAGAAAGAAAACAATTTGAATTTTTTAAATTTTTATATGCTATCTTATGAGACCGCTTCTGGAGAAATATATAACCCTTTGAACTGCGTATCGTAACGTAGCTTCCGCAAGACTTAGTTATTCAGTTCATAAAAGAGATCGGGAGTTCGGGAAAACTTGGTTGGTTTATGGAAGCAAAATCTGCTTGATTACTAGAATGATGAAGTTTGAGCGAAAATTCTGAGATTACTTCTATTTATGAGTAAAATTTCATGTTGCCTCGATCCTCTCCTCTGAGCGAGACAAAGCGCGCGGACATACTTCCCACTGTCCACCACTTCCATGTCGGTGACGGCCCATACATGGATGATGGCATAAAAACATGTAAAAGGACACAATAGCTAATACAGGGGTCGTACTGATACCCTCCGAAAGGAAGGGGGTCGTGAAAAATTTTCAAATCTGCGCAACGCACGGTTGACCCTGTATACAGCCCCGCGGCTTCCTCATGTTTGCTGATGGAATCTCCTCTTGTGTGCTCCAGAGATGGAGCTTTGACTCTCACGAGTACGAATAGGAGACTATAAAGTAATGGAATCGTAGCTTATTATCTACATTAGTGAATGGATTTAGAAAGAACATGATTGCATTCCTTCAATCTGGTTAGCCAAGTGATGAACTTTTTTTAAGTCACAATGAATCATAAAGGAAATCAATGAAATGTTCTATGAAGTAGAAATACATAAATGCATAGGAGATAAAATCAATTAGCATAAAGTTGGTTTCACAGAGACACTTTCTGTAGATGGCACGGTAAAGCGTGTGTTGAAGATGAGCAAATGTGCCTACTATAAGCCCAGGAAGGCGAGTCGTGGCGCTCCCACGAGCGAAGGGTGAGTTCGTAAAGGCCCAGCAAGCAGGGTCAACCAGCTGTTGTCCCACATCCTGAAATTTGACGGTTCCCCTTCTCACAGCGAGTCCCGAAACGACTTCCCAACACCGCCATCAGCGTAAGGAAGGTCTTCCCAGTAGGACTGCCTTCATCAGCCCGGCCATCACCTCACCACCAGTCTGTTTTCCATAGCATTTCCATGGTATCTGATTCTGTGACCAGCCCACGCACTCCAATCATGCCAAAAGTGTTCTTATTTTGTTGCAGTGTTACCAATAAATCCGTCAAAGGGCACCCACTTCTCGTGACCGCGATCCCCTTAATTTCCAAAGTACGAATAGCCATAGTTGCCCTCAGTTCACATCAGTTGTGCGCGTTCGATCGTGGCGCAGGCTCAAGCTCACTCGCAACCAAATAGTGTGGTATCCGTGATCTACAGGTTCAACTACCCCTGACGATAACCAAATTCGGTGATCCAATGTGTTCTGGCGCCTTTTGATACCGGCTCTTGAAGTGTGCGCCAGACGTTTTCGTTCTGAACGAATGTTTTCTTCATGTTCTATTGGTCAAATTAGCTCCGAGGTCATTTCTAGCCAAATGAACAGTCATGGATTAATTCCGATAAAAATCCGGGCTCCGCTTGAGAGGAGTGGGAATAAGGAAAAAGAATAAGTAGTTCCATACTTCATTTTCATAAAGCAGTTCCACTTCCCCCAGCACTTTCAGCAAAGTGGACTCGGGCGATCGACAAGTGTTCGGCGAGTTGTTCTTCTTGCCAAAAATAGCACAACCCTGTGCTGCACTCAAGGAATTCGTACGCAAGGCTGTGTCATGGAGCAAAGACGTATGCAATCGACTTTTCATGAAGCCCTTCCATCGCTCAAAAAGTCGAATTTCAGATCCCACGTGCGGTCGTTGCATGCCGTTGTGAAACTCCAGTCGAGGTGTACAAAGTGAAGCCGCAGCAGCACAACGATTTTGGCATTGTTTAAACCATCCAATCAAGCCATACTATTATATTATACATCTTTATTGCCTCAATTTGGTGCAACAATAAGAATCAATTCCCGTTGTATCGATTGATAGATTGACACATATTTAAGTGAACGAAAATTGGAAGAACCATTAAACAAAAAACTCGAAACGCAATGGAAAACAACGGCGAACATCGGACTGGAAATAGAGAATCGAAAATACTCAACGTCTAATGTCAACCAAAATGTAGGATGACAATCAAACCAATTCTTAAACAAATTTACGGCGTACAACACCTCAAACCACACCATCCAGTATTTCTTGAACCCTTACAACGGAGCAACGTACTCCGCGTCGTTCTACCACCAAACTTCATCACTCTGCCTCTAGTAAAGCCCTCATCTCCTAATAAATGATTGATTGTAACGCAAAGACTCTCTAATTACAAATGAATGTACAAGATTTACAACACAATAACTACAACATTATTGATTGAAAATCAGAAACATACGGTAAGGCTTATCGAGCTAGCAACACAAACAGATGATAAAATATTGACTGTAGCAAAAACACTTGGAATTATTAATAGAGTTCACTCAGCTCACTCTCGAGAGCGATCACTGAGAATACTTTTCCAGAATTCTTTCATAACTGTTCGATGATGAAGCACTGGGCAAATTGCAAGAATGCTATGAATGCTCAGCTCTGACGTCTGAAGTGGTTATATTCATTGAAAGGAATCGACCGAAAAGTGAAAAGTGACTAAAGAATTCTCTGAGATTAACTTGAAACTCGATGTTTTCAACGGACAAAGAGATGAGTGACAAGTTCGGCGGCCCCATACTTCACAACAAGGAGTGTTCACGTATGTTTTCTATTCTTTACCAACGTATAGCATATGTAATCACTCACGTCGTCAATCTCTGCACCGCTCGCCTCAAATCACTCTGATTCACTTGGGGATGCGACAGTCGCGTCAGAATCTCTTCGACTAGCTCATTACATATACCCGGACAGACCTGAAATATCGATATCCATAGAACCAAGAACAAATTCCAAATAAGTAAGTCTCAATAGAAAGAAGTTCGAGTGAAGATCTATGGTTTGTTAAATAACATGTGTATAGAACACCTCCTCTGCGTGGCGAAAGGCATTAGCAAGAGCGTCAAGCTCAGCTGTAGCGTGACGCGTGCGTGACATCCCCTCCAGGGCTGGCAACAGACTGTACTCAAGAGCGCCCTAAACGAAATGTGACGGTCAGTAGGAATGAATAGTGGAGAACTGAACAATAAGTTACAACGAGAACAATCCAACGTACAGGGGTCCTTCGGCGGGGCGACGGAGCTCTTTCATGATGTGCCGAAACATGAACAGAACTGGGATAGCCATTTCGACCTCCTGAACCCGTTTGTCGTTCACGTTCAGCCTGAAATAAAGCGGGTTTACAACATATGCACTTGAGCATCTTATTGCAATTTGCTGTCTAGAAAATCAGTCACCTCAAGCCGATTACTCCTTCCTCCGCTTCCGCCATATTCGCGTCCACCATTCTCCATAGCGTGAAATGATGATGGGTGATGGCTTCGTGCATTTGGCGCTGATGGCCGCTGCCGATCCTGTGCTCGTGATGAAGACGATGAAGGAGAATGGGTGTGCTGAGGTGCTCGACGGGGAAGGTTCTGAAAGGTTCCCTATTGAAACGAAAATCACCTCCTCACTTGATTTTGCTTCTTCTAATCAAAAACACTAACCGGACTCGATGGAGGGCTAGCAACTGTTATTGTTGTGGGCGCGTAAGTGTTCGATACTCGACCAGCACTTCCACCATTAGCACTGCTCACAGATGACGTTAGGGAAGTACCTCGCAGTTGGTCCGCCACTGCTAGTACCGTTGCATTTGACTGAAAAATTCTCAATGGTGTTCATCCTGGAGGTGGAATACCATTTCTTATAGACTTTTCCAACATAAGTCGATATTTGGTGACTTACTCTAACAATAGTGCCACCGGGACTATTGTCGTAATCGTCGTTTACTGACACCTGCGTCCGTTCCGCTATACTGGGACGCACCGGCCGGTCACGCTGCCTCACCGTCTCATCACGATCATCCCTTCTCCCTTCAGTTCGATCGCTGGCTGGGCCTCGTACTGTTGGATAATCCCAACTATTTGAGCCTCCGCCACCGTCGGAGTCTTCGTCAAGGTCACTGTCGGAGGACACACCAGTTCGAGACCTGAAAAACAGGACATCTTTTGATTCTCGTACTATACTCTATGGAACGCTACTGAAAACTACTACTGTATATCGTACCGATATTCTCGTGCTCGCTCTATCAGCTCAACTAATATGCCATTCTTTTTCGCCTTTTTAATGAACGGATGTTTCAATAAACTGCTTGCAGATGGCCTCTGAAATGACAGCTTACAAACAAAATTTAAAGCACGGATAACCATCTGTTACATATGAAAGCAATATCTTCGCAAGAATTTGTGACCTGAAATTCAGGTTCCACAAACAACTACGTAATCAGGCTTATGCATAAAGTGGGAACCATTACAAGAGTTTAGACTTTTCTGGAAGGCGCCGCCAGTTATTAGTTTGGAAAGAAGGAGGCCGTAAACATGGCGGCATAAAATACTCTGATGCATCATATGGTTCAAATTTACATCGTAACTAACACAGTACAAGATCGCCTCACTGAACATAAATTCGACATTAGCTTTCTGATAGAAGGAGTCTCCTCAAAAACTCACATTATCCGGGTCTTTGTTTAGGCAAAGCTCAACAAAGTCCTTGAACGAACGTGACCACTGCGGCCCGGAGAGTTGTGGTGGCGGATTTTTAGGGATCAAAAAAAGCACCCGCATCGGATGGAGGTCTGAGTGAGGTGGTTCACCTTGCGCTAACTCAATAGCAGTGATTCCAAGCGACCAGATATCGGCCTGCAAACATTGTAATTGGGACAGAAGATGAGCCAAGTTATGAAGACGAAACGGTTCATGTCCTCGATTGCTAATTGAGAGCGTCGGAGGGGAAATGACATATTTCGAGGGAGTACCTCTTGAAATTCTTCCCTTCCAAAAATATATCATCTACCCTCTATCGACCTCAACACCGAACAAAGGGAGCTAGAAGCTTTGAATGTTCCCACAATAAATGGAGAGAAACACAACAGAGAGAAAAGGATAATAAAAAAGCACTAGACTAAAAACTTGTAAGAGTGGGTCACACCTTGTAGTCATAGCTAGCCTGCTTGATGAGCTCAGGTGCCATCCAAAACGGCGATCCGACAAAGGTGATCCGCTTTTTTACTGTCTCTGTCAGCTGACCGGCAACACCGAAATCTGCTACCTTCACATCTCCTTGTTCACTGACCAACACGTTGGCGGCTAGAAAAGCAAGGGAGGATTGCGTAAATTGGGCAATTATTTTAAGACGTGGTTTAGATGGGATGGTGAAGATCGTTGTGTAAGGACATTTATAAAATATAGTACCCAGAGCTATCAAAAAAGTGGGCATCGAAGCACTTATCACCTAATGAACATCATTTGACATTATGGTAATAAATGGGTAACTGAATCCACTCGATGGATATCCCGAGAATGGTGCTATCTAACTTTCAATACGAGATCTAAACAAAAAGTGTACTTCCTCATATACAAATACTCATTAGAAAAGCGGGTGAAACCATGAAACTCATCAAACGTAAACTCTGAACGCTGTAGAAGAGGAAGGTGAAGAGCTATCTGTCGTAGTGAAGTTGGATAAGTAAAATTTATATCATTGTTGAAGAATTTATGTTTAAGTGACAAGCAACGCGTTGACAAATTTTACGTCCACATAAACTTCCAAAAACCCCAAGCTAGCAGTCATACAACATGCACAACACGACACTAGGTGTAGAATAGCAACGGGATCAAGAACCAAAAATAAAGTTCCTCCACCTTTGCATCGTATTGACCATACTGAATGACCTCAGGTGCCATAAAGAACGGTGTGCCAACAAAAGTGTTTGCTTTCAGACCGGCTACTGTCGACAGAAAACGTGCAACACCAAAATCACCCAACTTCACATCACCGGTGGCATCATCCATTAAAATATTAGCGCCTAAAGTGCGCACTACAAAAGCCATTCCATGACAGCGCGAAATGTCAACAAACCAGGAGTTACTTTTGCAGATTAACAAATAGAAATCCATTTTCACACGAAACAATGGATCTCAACCCCAATTCAGAAAAAAAAAGGCGCAAATAGAGGGAATGCATAAAAGATCACTGTGCTAGGGATGAAAAGAAGGACTCTAGAAAGGCAATTTTTCATGCTACAAAACATTATGTAAAAACTGCTTCAGTGCAGTTCTCAGCACAGGTTTGGAATCAAAAATAGTATAGAAAGCAATCGTCAGCTGACAGATAAGTTAAAAACACTGCATAAGCTTACCTTTGATATCGCGATGTATCTTACGCTCACTATGAAGGTAGTCCAGTCCTTTGAGTATCTCCCGAAGAATAACAGCAATATGATTTTCATCCAATCGACCACTTTTTGTGAGATCTAACGCAGATCCACCACCCAGGTATTCCATAATAATCCATAACTTCGATCCCTATAATTCATTTAGAGCACAATAGCATGCCAAAAGATAAGCCGAATAAGAAAGAACGTGAAAAATGAACCCGTAAATTGCAATAAAGAACGAAAGTAGAAGAAAAGTAAAAGAAGAGAAATAGAAGCCACAATCTACTAATGAAGAGAGCAAAGCATTGATCACATTTAAACCACTTGCTACAAAACGATATTCGAATTAGCAAATCGAATCAGATAACCAGACATACCTTTAAATAGCTGCCGTAATACTTTGTCACGTAAGGTGAATCACACTGGCTGAGTACCTGGAAACAATATTGGTAAATATGAAAGGACAAGAGCAAAGCTCGGGATCGGACAATACTTTGCAGTTCAGCTTGCAGTTCAAGTGCGGTAATGGCACGTAGCGATTTTGCGATCGCATGAAAATGGAACTGCGACCACACGATCGATACTCACCGTTTCGCTCCCGGACTGCAAGCCTAACTGCAAAGTATGATAGGATCTTCAGAACAGTCATAACAAAACCAAAGTAGAGGGGGCGGTGAAAAGTTAGCTTATAAGCCTCTACCTGAATTTCCTGCTGAATGTCCTCAATTTCATCCTCAGCCTGCTCCAGATCAATTATCTTGATGGCAACCACCTAAAACATATGACCATTCTATGATATCACGATAGTCAGCAATCTCCTCAGCTTTCAAAATTTACAAGAAGGCAAAAATTTCCCCATTTCTAGATGAACACCGAGCCTGGATTGATGAGATCTTTGTAACACAGTCGCGATGCCAAAATCGCACCCCACCCTCTCACGATCGTGATGTCTGACACCTAAGCTGGGGAGCCTGTGCAACGACTTCTACCAACTAGACTAAAGGAGGTTTTTTATCAGCAAGCATTTGCGAATAAATATTCAATAATCTTGAACCAGACAAAAGTTTTTGATTAGCTGACTCAAAATGTTAGAAACAAATGTGATTTTATTAAAAATTCCCCTCGGTCCTTTGAAAACAACATCTTCAAGCATAAATTACGTTGTTTCAAGCAAAAGCAGCTATTCCATTCCAGAACACTGCACATTTCATGTCCAAAATTCACTAACAACATAAGAAATATTGTTAGAGAAATGACATAAATACAGTAATGAAATCAATATTGGAGCCTAATGGTTGTTAGGTCAACAAATCTTCCACGCAAATAAAACAGTGAATGCCGTAACTACTGCAATGAGCAAATCGATGAAAGCATAACAGCCGCTTACCTGAGATGTTCGTCGGTCGATGCCTTTGTAGACTTCACCGAACGAGCCGCGCCCAATGCGCTCGTGTTTGGTGAAGATTTCCTCCGGATCCAGTTTCTGGAAAAAAAAATCGTGAGTTTGCTGATATAGAAATACTAAAAGAGCAAGCAGAAACAAAAAGTTCAGCAAAAAGAATGGATCTTTAAATGTGGAATTCTACACAGTATATTTCGGATTGAAAAGAATCGTATGCCAAGTTAAAAGAATCACAGATAAGTTATGAAAATTTGCTCTTTAACTCGTGAATTAGTGATATGGAAATTGTTACACTAGAACTGCTTACAAAGCGAGAAAAGAAAATCGTATAGACTAATCTGTCACAAAAGTTATCACATAAAAAAAATCAATTCAAGTATCATTTTATTAACAGAAGCATGTATATGTTTGTAATATCACTCAACATTCACCAAACAAATCACTTTCTCTATGTGAATTTTGCCACCTTTAGAAAAGAAATCGATACCATGGCCCCGGAATAAAACATCCTTCGACTCAGTAAATTTGGTCAAACATTGCAAACTGCATGAATGCTGGCAAATTCTCGATCACGAGAATGTACTCAAGCGTTCGAAAAAGGAGAAATTCCTGATGATAAACCTTGAGCATAGATAGGATGCTCGAGCCCGTCCCAGTACTAGGATCTAGTTCAAACCTACGAAACAACAGGCAACCTTTCTTGACGCCCTATGAAGCGAACAAGTCTCAGTGACAAATCAAAACATGTAGATGGAAGTTCAGCACAAAGCAGAGCGCAAAAGAAAGTTTTTGCATCAAAATTAAGAATTTTTTGCCTTACTGACGAAACATTGGGGGCAGGCTACTATTAGAAGCATCACATTTGTACAAGAAGTTTATTTATTCATTTATTTGTGACGCTGCATGAAGCATGCGTAAGAAGCACATCGAAAGCTTAAACATTGATACAGTGCCCCTCTACCAAATCGCCCTTCTTTGGAACAGCTAAGTTACGCCGTAAAAACAAAACACAATAGAGTACGCCACAGTTGAAACACTCCCAATTTGAAATAAATTTTCTAAGTGAAGATGTAAAAGATGAGAAGAGAACGTAGCGTTTCACCGCATTCATCCACTTATTATTACTACCTACTTATTTCCGAGAAAATCGCAATAAAATCTCATACACAAAAAAGCGAAATCCTTAAAACAAATGAAAGAAAGACTTCAAAAACTGGGAAGAAGAATCAACCATGCATGAAAAAAGTACTGCTATTGACTGGTATATAAATAATTTTATTAGTCACAGAAACTTGTAGCCACGTTTCCTAAGAAAAAGTGGAGTGCGAATTATAAAGGACTCCGAACCTGCACTGATTCCATGCCCTAATGCTAATTGGCGTGTTCGGTTTGGAGCACATCAATTTGTGTGCTATAAATAGGTGTAATGCGGCTGATTGGGATCATTCTCGAGATATGCTTCCCATTCTTAAGTGAAATCAGTAGGACAGGACATAACTAAACCACAACAGCAAGCTGTAATGATTATAATAGAACTACTTTAGGCGCAGAAAGAAGCGGCTGGGTTAGCACACGCGAAAACCGCGCCGCTACTGCAACTGTGCTAATTGATTTGTTCGTATTATTGGATAGCAGATTAACGGAGTGCAATCGCAATGTTTACATTGAGAACCCATCAGCATGAGTAGCAAGGGCTTTAGTGGGATGAGAAAACTGTCACGTTTAAGGGACGTATCCTAAGAAGGACCTGATGGCCACATGATTGCTCAAACTTATCAGAACATCGATAAAATCGGACACCCTTCTTCTGTCTATTACGCTATTCCTCATATGATACAATTCATAAACAAATGTTAAAACCATAATAGTAGTCGAACATAC